GTTTTGAATATGATAGTGCTAATGGCTATTGTGATATACCTAGTCCTGTTTTGTAAGATAGTTTGATGAATTTTTAAATGTAATTTAAGAGAAATAGTGAATTTGAATCTGTGTCTGAGGGCATTTTAACAAATTTATGTGATATGACAAAGATATTTTTAGAAACCTTGTTAGAATTGACAAATAGAATTCAAATTTTAATTTTTAATTGTACATTTATTTTTAGCAATGACTGAATTAAATGTAGTATTATTTTGTTCAAACTGTCCTGTTTCATTTCTGGAAGAAGAGAGAGATCTTGATTAATCAAAGAATGTAAACTTTCACAACTGCAGATAACTGTGTGAAAGCTATTTTTCGGGTTTTTGACCGCGGTCCGCTGGTTTTCATGCACGGCGTTTCGTCTACTACTGCGGCAGACAACAAAGGCGATGTGGTAACGGTTGCAGTGCCCGGCTTGAGTTGTTCCCGTCGTTCAATTGCATTAACTATGATGCTCGTGTTTGACTTTGGTTTTATGATATCATTAGTGGGCGAGGCTTGGTTTCTCTTAATTGGTTTACCTGACCTTGTTTGTGTACCTGTAAGAACCGGTAGCCAAATTTTATTGATGTTCATTACCTCTTCTTTTCTATAGAAATTATCCCCGTGTTTTTAATTTCTATTGCCTTTCTATATATTCTTGGACAGTAATCTTGAGTTTTATCGAGTATTACTATATCTTTGAATGTGATGTTTTGAGTGCCTTCTTTGTTCAGAGCAGCTGATTTGTCGAGTCGACGGGTACGCACACTTCTTCTCGTGGTTCCAATTTAGACCGACTCGCAGCTACAAGGAATCCGGTTCACCCCAGGTGTTGCTATAGGTTCTGTGGGATCCTTAGCTGACCTTAAATTTCATCTGATAGTTTTTGTTGGCCTAAATATTGGCACGGAATCGATACTTTTCAAGAACTCAGAGTTTTTTGACATCTTCCATTCTGAATGTCATGTTAAAAGTTATCAATATTGTAATATTATGAAATAAAATTGTTTAACTTGTCGTACAGTTTTTGTGGTTGTTCTATGCTTTCATAGAATAGTAGTAGTCGTTTGTATCAATTTGTTACAGCGATTATACGATTTGTCCATCTGCTATATTTGACACACGTTTTATGCGTTCTGTGGTTCATTATAGTGCTTCTCTGGTTCTGTCACATTACTGTCAATGTCAAGTCACTTTCATATTTTGAATTCGTTTTCAGCGGTTTATAATCACTGTATTCCCTTTATTAATTGAGCAGTAACGAGAAAAAACATTACGTTCAAGAAAATGCTTCGAAGATCAAACAGCAGCTCGCACATACCCGTGCCAAGGACTAATTTATTTGGAATTATTGGTACTGGTGGTTCAAGAAAAAGTACCGAATAAAAATTCGGGGAAAGATGGAATACAAAGTTTTTTAATGGATAAACATTTGTATTTTGAAGACAACTATACCAAAAACCAACTACTATCACAATTGCCCAGATTCAAAACGCGTTACCTTCGTGACCAATCACAGATGAGCAAATTCACAACATTACGTTTGTGTTTCCATTATTTTTAATCGTAAGTACCTATTTTCTGCTTTAAAATACGTACTCAAACGTCAAACTGATAGTTTGTTTCGTAAACACCCTGTATAATAATTATGAAGTTCCATGATTCAAATCCCTATTTTTGTCTGCAATGAGGCTATGAAATAATAATAGCTCTATGATAATTTGGGTTGGCACTTCTGAAATAACGCAACTACACAATGGATATGGCAGGGCTGCCAGGAAAATGATTCACTTTTTAAACTCTTACTTTTCAAGCATGCTACTCGACAATACAAGAAACACAACAATCCCATTATCTGAATAAGACAATCATTCGGGCACTTCACGATAATCTTCCTGATCTTTCCTTTCGATTTCATCGCAAATTGTCAATGCACTTGCATAATAAATAGGTAACTGGTACTCTGGCGCTCTTGATGTAATAACAACAATCAAAACCCATTCAAAAACAAATAAATACGTGCTCCATAAGAATATAATCATATATTATTTTTGCCCAATTACCCAATTTGCAAAATTACTATTTATCTTCCATTATTCCATCGATTTTGTTGCTAGCTCGTTTTCAGACGCGCAGCGCCATCTAAAGAGGAGTAGCCAAAACTGCTTGACTCGCTCCGCTATGAAAACTGTTCCTAACTGAGCTGTAGGAAATTTCTTCGACGAGAATACAGTTAAGTTGGCAGTGGTGGTTGTACGATTGCTGCAATATTCGTGCTCCACTTGATGCGCAGCCCTAGGCTAGTTCGTCGGCGCATGTTTTTCAAGCACCCGCCTTTTTTGCCCTTACCACTTGCGGTCGCCATTAGAAAATGGTATAATGGTAGGTTTACCATTGGTTGAAACGTGTGGCATGGGTTTTTAGCATGGCATCAGTCACCGATGCGAACCATGATCGAGAAGCTAAACGCTCCAGCTTATTTTTCCACATTTATATATCTGAGGTTGTTGTTTTCTTTGTGAAAAAGTGGAGCGCTTGTAGGGGTGATTTTAAATCGGAGAGTTTTTTCTCTGGAGTCTATCATATGTAGGTGAAAGTGATAATGAACACTAGATTTGTTCATAAAATTCAAAGATTTGAATTTTGTCTAATGAAGGTTATTCTTTTGATTTCTAAGGTGGGAGGAGAGACAGTTTCTTTCAGTTCCGACCGTGATTCATCTAGACTGCTACAGAAAACTTTCGACAAAATGAATTTTCAGTAGAATACAAAGCTAGATTGTATAAGGTTAGACTAGAAATATCTATCATGCGTTGTGTATTTGAAAAGTTGAAATTCAAAAAAATTAGTCCAATTTCAGCTAAGATAAGAGTACTCGTAATACATCATTGACGTTGACTTTTTAATAACCAAGTAACATATCTTGGTAAATATTCGTTTTGAGGGCACCAGGCGATTTTAAAAAAATGTTTGAGTGTACTTACGTATTTTGATGCATAAATTACGAATCCGAAAGGAAAAAGCGGCGCTCTTCCCTATTTACAAAGTTACGGCCCTTCAAAGTTCAAAAAAGAATAACTTTTCAGCCTTCTTTTTCACAAAATAAACTATTTAAAAACACAAGCATTTATTCACTAGGTCACCTTTACACCTTATTCCTCCTTCCTTGACACTTGTCACTCCAACAATCAACATTTTTCCAATAAAAATGTTGAAAAATGTACGGAGCTGCTTTTTGGTTATATTATTGCCTACAATCGACATCTTAGGTTAGGTTTTAAGGTTAATTGCATAGTTGGTACGATTGATGCAAGCATTCGTTCTTAAATAAATTTTTTTATAAGAAAAATGTCGATTGTTGAATTGAAAAGTGTCAATTAAGGAGGAATAAGGTGTAAAGGTGACCTAGTGAATAAATGTTTGTTTTCAAATAGTTTGTCTTGTGAAAAAGAAGGCTGAAAAGTTGCCCTTTTCTAAACTTTGAAGGGCCGTAACTTTGTGAATGAGAGAGAGCACCGCTTTTTTCTTACGGATATTTACCCGAATATTTACCCATATCTTCACCCAAAAGTTATCTAGAAATTGTAATTATAGCTTCTTTCAATTCAATAGAAATAAGAGCATTTTTTAAATCAGTCCACCTTTGCCAACGTAGCATGTCGATTAATTCCGCTAGCGTGAAAATTGAGTGCGCGGGATTTGATGAAGTCGACGAAGGCTGATTGGCGAAGGTTCTACCGGTGAGAAAGTTAGCGAAGTGCGAAGTGGGTTGGCGAGAGGTCTTAGGGTGTATGGTAAGGCAGATTTTCCACGCGCAATCCGTCCAATTTTCGGACGATGATTTGTGAATGTGCGGACGGGTGTTGTCGTGGAGCAGGATCAGACCTCTTTTGTTGACCAGTGTCTAATATTGAAGTGAAATATTGATATATTTTCAGAATATTCGAAACATATTTGTTATATAGGTACCTAGATGAATATACAGTGCATTTCTTAAATGTCCCCCCCCGTTTATTTTTTGAAAGGGTCAGAAAATTGAAATTTGGGATAATGAAATTAATGCATGAATGCTTTATTTTGAAGTGAAATTGACAGATGAAACTTTCAAGATGGCGACTGGGCGCTATCTGGGAAAAAAATGTAAAGGAAAGGGGGGTCTTGTGATACATCTTTTTGAAGCTCCTTACAAATACTCCACAACCCTAGAATATAATGTCGATATCTTCAACTACTACAAAATGGCGGAAATTTTAATAATTGCCTAATTACATTGGCATTTAACTACATAATATGAGGTAATAGGCCAGTTCAGAAGATGCTCGAAATGATTGCCTTGAACTTCTTGACATATGAACAGCCTATCCGATATTTCACACCGAACATTTTCGAACACAGTAACGTCAATATCTCTACAAATATTTATCATTCTCAGCTGTATATCCAATATCCAGGATTTAATACCATCTCACCAATTATTTGCACTTGCTGCAAAAAATTTCCCTTTTTTTCCAAAGCTGGCTAATTCACAACACTCACAATTTAAAAATATTTTTGAATTATATAGGATGTTTCACAAAACCATGGTACCTACACCAAATCTTCTAAATGAGTACAGAAACCAGATTGGTGCAATGGGTCAATGAGACAACTGTCTTATTTCGAAACATCGGTGTCCCACAATGATGATAACGGTGTTTCTTGTAAGTGAAATTTCATCTGTTTCATTCAGTAAGGTAGGTGCGGCCAATAAGGCCTAGCTAAGCGGAAATTTAAATGAATCAAAGACTGTTTAAACAAATCAGTAAATTTTAATGTTTATCAAACATTTATGTCAATCACTATTAATTAAAAACGAAAAACAGCAACTTCTGCTATAAACATAGTTAAAATTAAACATTTTAAAAAACACTGTCTTTAGGCCTTATTAAACTATGGTAGTATATTAAGGCCTAAGACTTTAAACTACAAAAATAAATGAAATAATCTTCTTATATTTGGTAATTGAGATCCATAAAATAATAGTAATACGATAATCACAGTAAAGACTTAAAAATAACATTTTTTCTTTAATTAGGCACAATCTGGACACTCAAAATCATCATCATCCTCCTCTGTTAAACCAACGCACTCCTCGTGGTACCACTTGCTGCATTTGCAACACATCCTCATAGCAGTCTCTTGCTCCTGTTTACATGCGTGACAGTACCAACTTTCTCTATTCTCTTTCCTGCTCTTTGCTCCTTTTGTGCTTTTCATTTTTGAGGTCTTTTTTTCTATTTTGTTTTTATCAAACAGGTCTTTGGTAACTGGAGTTCCTCTATAATTGATGGCTTTTCTTCTGACTGTTGGTGTNGTGGAGCATAAATGTAGGTTTGAAATTGTTATGTATGATATATATCATTCCCAACATAAGCAACTTTTTGAGGTTTGAGCTATACAGTGCTTTTCTTTCATGTCCCCCCCTTTTCATTTTTTGAACGGGTCAACTCAAAAAATTTAAATTTGGTATACTGTCTCCACACAGTAGAAGGAGACACCTCACAAACATTAGTAGATTGTCCAGGATTTAATACCATCTCACCAATTATTTGCACTTGCTGCAAAAAATTTCCCTTTTTTTTCCAAAGCTGGCTAATTCACAACAATCACAATTTAAAAAAATTTTTGAATTATATAGGATGTTTCACAAAACCATGGTACCTACACTAAATCTTCTAAATGAGTACAGAAACCAGATTGGTGCAATGGGTCAATGAGACAACTGTCTTATTTCGAAACATCGGTGTCCCACAATGATGATAACGGTGTTCCTTGTAAGTGAAATTTCATCTGTTTCATTTAGTATATTGTGTAGGAATCCTGTGAATGATATCTGATTCGATTCTATAACGAATGTTTGGAATACAAACTGAATAGAAGAAATTGTTTTTTGTATTATTCAATGTTCATGTAGAAGTAGTTGTTTCCAAAGTATTTTTCTTCCCTGTAATTCAAAGTGTACATGAAAGTAATCGTTTCGAACAGGCTTTCCCTTCCAGTTTGTATCTGAAAGCTACTTCTTTGCATGATCTACCCATCGTAGTAGAGAGTTTATTTTGGAATGAATTGCTTCCTTCCTTTCTTTGAAAGATTTTCGTATAAAGATAGAGAAGTAGAAAGCCAAAATCTTCCTTTCCCAAAAAACATTATCTCCTTTCGATATATACAAAAACAAATTTCTCAAATTGCAATTTGTTTAATAATACACATAGTAGACACAAAATACGGTATAGTCATCAGCAACTGCACCGAAGCAATATGGTAACTTCCACAAATAACCTAAGGAACTCGTATACCTAAAACTACATCTATTACATACTCAAAAATGCCTTTCTCGATTTCTGCCCCATATTATTAGGCGCCATTTTGCTTCATTGCGAATCTTCCAGGAACCTCCCTCTTCATCCTCACTTTGTCAACCTCGTACACGTTGGGATCATCTCCTAGCATTTCTTCCAGTTGCTCCAAGTAGGCTGGGTTGGAAAACAATTCAGGTTCATATTCGAATTTTTCTGCCAATTCGGACCAAGCTGGGTCTGAAAACAATCATTGTTTACGGTACTTTTGTAAAACTTATTATTAAGCAATGCTTAATTTGGTTAACAGACAGAGGAGATCTACTATCGGTGCAATCTGTGAAATGTATAATAAATGTAAAATATTCTAGAAGCTTTTGAGCAGAGTAAATTGTGCAAAAAAAATCGCCATTTTGGAATACTCAAGCGCGTCAGATTAAGATATATATGGTTCATCTTTATGTTTTAGACGTGATGTCTCATAATCTGACGATTATCTAGAGGGATTCGCTTAATCTGACAAAAACAATATTTTTTTTTATTTTTATTCATTGAACTGTGATCAGCTGTGATGGCGTCATGGCAACAGAATTCAGAGTAGGGACGGAGTGAGAGAGTAATAGATAAAGAAAAAGTGAATAGAGAATAGAGGAATAGAAACTCGGAGAGGGAAATATAGGTATCACACAGCTGCACGCATTAAACTTTATCGACGAATTTTTGTTATTTTGCCTTGCTAAAATCGTCAGATTATATATTTTTCGTTATCGTTGAATTATCTCCTTCAAAATAAAACAAAATTAGCTACGCTCGAGAATGTCAAATGATGTTATTTTTTACAACTTTGCTGCCCTCCCCTTTCTTTACGTCACTCTCAAATTGTCAGATTACTGGAATATACACTTTTTGGCAGGTAACTAACTCACCCTACCTTAATCTGACGTGCTCGAGAATTTCTGATGATCAATTTTTTTTTACTAATCTGATCCTTTATACCTCACAGACGGCTTTATATATGGGGCTCATATTTGGTGGAGGTACTTAACCGGGTACAAGGTATCCCCCTGTATATTAATCTGCGCGCTTTAGTAAATCGCTTGGGCTCCCCTTTTTCAAAGGTAGCTTATTTCGCCATTTTTCACAGCATAATGACATATGGACTAATAGTTTGTGGTGCATCATGTCATCTAGATATAATATTTAAACTACAAAAAAAGTAGTAAGAATTATGGCACAGGCTAAATACGACAATCATTGTACTTACCTTGTACCTTTTTTTAAAAATCTCCGTATATTAACTCCGCGATCTTATTTCATATATGAATGTCTGTGTTATGTTAAGAATGTAATAGGGGAAAATAAATTGACTAAGCAGAAGGACATACACTACCATGAAATCAGGGCCAAAACAAATGTAAGGCTACCCAAATATAGGTTAGGTAAATCGCAAAAATCCTATTTATATATATCTTTGAAATTTTTTAACGTGTTACCATATGAGTTTCAGACTTTGGACATGAGTATGAACACTTTAAAAGCGAAAATTTAGAATATTTTTTACAGAATGTATTTTATATATTTATTTCACTTTATTGTGTTACCTTGATTTTAATTTACATACTATTGACGTATATAGGGTGTTCTAAAATTGTGTAAACAGTTAGAAGGAATGTTTTTGCTGAAACGACTTAAATTGTGGAAGAACAAAGCTTTCAACTTTGCCTTCTGTTTGTTATTTTCTATTTGTGTTATTAATATAAACGTCATACTTAGGTACTGTTTTTTTAAAATTGGGAAATTGGTCTACTTACACTTGTAATTTTTTTGAACCATATTTTTAGCATAGTCATCATGTTGAATTGAATTCTGAAACAAAAACGATTCTATTTGGTAATGTGAAAAAATTACATGCAATAAAGTGATTATTTTTCAGCTAAGTAACTTATTTACAGAATATTGTGGATAAAAATTACTTTTATCGCCTGAAAACTGATTTTTCTCTCGACTTTTCACGGGCTTCATTTGAAAAAAAAACATGAGACTTGAGTTGGAGTAGAATTATTCAAAATTGAATTTCGAGGCTACTGAAAATGTTTCAAATCTATAATTTTCATTATTACCTAAAAGGGTTCTTACTCCAACATATTTTTTCCAACAAAAATGATGGAACATTAAAAGGTTCATATATTTTAAGGCTTACTACAAATTCAACATAAATGTCTTCTTTCGCACAGGAACCGATCTCAATTCATTTCAAGAGTTTTTGTGTAGTACTTGTGCATTTCCATTAAAAAAAATATCAGATAAACGCGTACGAAAAATTTTCGGATAATCCCTCTCACTCCCGAACATAACTCATTATTATTACTATTATTTCATACTCACGTCATTTCGCCTTCCGATCCTCGGGACAGATTTTGAAGCCTTGAGGAAGAATTTTTCGAAATCTGAGTTGCCTTTGGTGTTCCTGCCAATTCTAGGGACGTTCTTGGCTGACAGGAAAAAATTTGGAGTGTCCTCGTAGCTTCGCACTAATTGGAAAATGCAGTTGCAGAAGAACAGAAAAACGAACGTACGATTGAACATTTTGAGTTTGTTTTTGGTAGTGATGCTCCATATGTGGGTGTTACTGTTTTTATACGCGCAAAGAGAAATGTTTAATATTCTGGTGGTGTTTCGGAGGTGATAATAGTTTTATTTGCTGTGAATTTAATTTTCGATGGAGGATCTAATTTCAGTGTTTCATTGACGTAGTTTAGTTTCATGACATTTTCATTGAATTTCCAAAAAAAAATACAATAGGACTAATTCACTATACTTGAACTAAACTAGGGTATTCTGGAATTAACGCAAGATTTGAATTTGCCGCCATTTGTGCAGTAAAGTGCTGGCAACCCTCGACAAAACAATTTGGCAGCTGACAGTTCAGGCACAGTAGAAAGCTATACTGAGCATCAGAGTTAGTAAAAAGGGGGCGTTATACGATAGAACAATGTGTCTTTATTGTTCAACAAAGTTCAACAGTTCAAAAATTTAATACAAAATTTTCATATGAATTATATTATAGGTAAATGAGAATTGAAACGTTTCTGTTAGTATCTATCTTCTGTTCGAATTTCAATATTTGATACAAATGAGAATCAATATGTTCGAAATTGTGTTCTACAAAGAAATATAATAAAAAAAGTGTCTCATTGATTTGTTATTCTACGCGGTTGCCAAAAAAAATAGTGTAGGAAATATATCCCCAAACCGTTTTATTTTCAACTCGCAGACTTCCAGAATTTTGTCTATTCGTTCAACCAGTATTTTCCAGACTATACTGTCTGTCTGTCTGTTTAAAATCTATTGTTCCGTTAACCAGCTGTCGCACCCCTACGAACGACAACCCTTGGAAGTCAAAACTTGTGCGAGCTAAGGACCTTTTAACGTGTGATTCCTAACACGGGTTGGACAATAGCAAGTGAAAATCGATCGTTCAGCCTGGGGCTTGAACCACCGACCAACACGGCGGTCGATTTGAATGAGTGAACAAAGCACCCACGTCGAATCGACCGGCTACCGACCGACCAATACTTGATAGGGAAATTTCTTATTTTGAAATGTTTGAATGTCAGTTTATTGAAAAATTTGAAGCAGCTGCTAGAATTTAATTCATTTACTCTCCTCTGTTGAATTTATTTTTAAAAATAAAATTATCAGTGCTAATTTGAGAGAGTTTATTTTCGAATTAATTGCTTTCTTCCTTTCTTTGGAAGATTCCCATATTATTTTCTATTAATATGGAGAAGCAGAAAGCGTTTCTTTCTTAAAAAAAACAATTAATCTGGTTATCCTGGAATATGTCACTTGCTTTTACATCTTACATTTCTTATTGTCATTCAAATCGCTGTGAATTATCTTCTTCTTAGGGTTCATGAAAGTGTCAAAAATGTCGCGTCTCATTTCCGAAATGAAGACATCTATTAATTTTGGAAAATTCAATAAATAATTTCATTATCGTATTTGATACAACGCCAATGGTTTTATTGCTGGTACCCCTATAATGTGATGTTTCAAATTCAATATCGATTCCATCTGCTGCAGTAATTATCATTCAGTTAGCACTAGGCTCGTATAATAATGTAATTTACAATTTAGTTCCAGTTTCGTTCACCTGTTGTTAATTTTTACTGATGACTATGTTTGCTATGAATTGATAAGATCTAAAGGAAGCGAACTGGAGTATATTGCCCATCTTCCATTGTATGGTAGAACGTTTGTTGATTAGAAATTACTGAGAATTATTGAACTTTGTGTCCAGTGGAACACAAATATTATAATTTAGAACACTTATGGTTAAAATCTTTTTGATTTCTTTCGAACATATTCATATGACTTTTCGGTGACTTTCCGGCTCAGTTGACCTCCTAGAGTAAAAAATATGCAAATAATGAAAAATTGAAAAACTGTAATGCAAATTCAATAGGTATAACCTCAAATTTTGAGATAAGATCCCAAAAAGCTGTTTTTTTTGCTTTGAATATTTTTTCTGGCAAATATGATTCAATTCACATGAAAGTTTACGAATTTACGCTAAATGAGCTTGAATTTTTAGAATCTCAACAAAAAGCAGTTTTCGAAATTTTCTTCTTGTTCCAAAAAAAATAAAATTTTCCACAAAATTTCATTTTTTCATCTTCAATAGTCCGTCAGGACTCATTTCAGCCTTTACTTGAAATCGTGCCAAGGATAGATTTGTCTCTTCCGGTGACATAATATTATAATGTTATAAATGAAATGAATGATTCGTCTTGAATGTTGTTGAAAAAGGTGCTGATGAGGTAATAAATTGGTGTCTTATTTCGAAACTTTGAAGTACGCCGTTGTTGATGATAGTGATGTAAGTGAAATTTCATATCGTAATTCTTTCAAATATTATATTGTGTAACGTTGCTATAAATGACATCTGTTTCGATTATGTAGATACTGCTTCTAGCGGCGATAAATTCTGTGTTCAGAGAAGTCTTTGTCACTATTCGAAATTCCTGAGAACCACATTAATTATTTGAAAGAATTTAAAAAATATATGAGTTTTCCCTATTATTTCAGAAACTTATGAAGAGCTGAGTTGAACATTTCTTGAAAATAATAGTGTCACAATATATAAATGTAACTTTTATTATTCAATTGTTTATAATGTTTGGACTACGATTCTTTATTGCAATAGTCAATATTTTCCTTGAGTTTGACGTTGATCATCTGGCGGTACTTTGGTGTTGAAGGGTCAAGTTTTTGTGACCTACATTCTCTGTTGGAGGTTTTTTGTCATGTTTAAGCGGTGATTTCAAATTATCTGAAACTTACGAAAATACACTCGTGTTCCTTTTTTTCACCGATTAACTCACCGATGTAACCACCTAAATGAATCAAATTATTCCCTTAGCCATATAGATATACATCGATGAATTCCATCAATGAATGAATTATTGTTAGCTGTCAACTGTCTACTAATAGTAGAGGCTGATTAAGGTGATTAAGTTTCAATTTTAGAAGTATTTTGGCAAAATTTGCAATATACCTTCATAAGTGGTGGTGTGTTATGGTTTGAAATATTCAGAAATCAATAGTATTTATGGCAAATGGATGTAAGTTTTGTTTTGACAGTAATGGCATCCTGTTACTGTTCCTTTTTCTTCAAAAGTAATCTTCGTCGAATTCATTATTGATTAATTGGTATCGTCATTTAACAGCTTTTACGATTAATCGAAAAAGTCATCTTTTGAGAAAAGAAACACGCGATGTAATTGTAGTTTGATTCCAGTCGATGAATTATCAGAACTACATCTTGTCAACTTGTTAGCCAGCATTTTAAGCAAACTACTTTACTGTGATCACGTTCACTAACAACAGTAACGACTCGATGAAAATTTCATTTTGACAACAATACAATAGCTTCTTCAAGCGTGTCTGTACTCACGTCTGAAGCACCTAGTGTCTAGCAAAACACGTGTTGCGTTTTTGTAAAAATGTTCAGTGCAAATCTCATGATATAGTGTTTCTTGAATCCCATTACTTATTCATCTGTGATGTAAACATCTCACAAAGATTATAAGAATCTGGCCAAATGTTCGTAGGAAACAAGGACATAAGAGAGATCGAAGAAAAGAAGAGGAAATCAACCTGTTTTCTTAAATTGTTAATCCCAATTCAATTTTTTAAATGTTCAAGATTTATGGGCTTTTTCTCAAACATTCAATCGTTGTTGAAGGTTAAGTAATATACGATTTATGTTTCGAACTTTGTGAACTCAAAATGAACGCTGAACTAGGAACCAAGGAGGAGCGGGCTTATTTTATGTCCGTTCTCAATACTCTGAAAAGTTATGGGTAAGTAGTTTACAGTAAGTAGTTTTTTCAATTGATCTACTTCGCGTTTTTATAAATGCTGTAGAGTTAAATTGCGAGATCAATGGTTATTCAATATTTTCAGGGAACAATCGCTGCTGAGGATTGAACACAAAGAGAAATGCTTCAATAACTTACCCCCTCACCACAAGATGTGGCTGAAAAAGTACAAGGAGGATTTGGAAATGTTCAAAAGATGCATTCAGAAAAATTCTGAATTCATTCCTTTGGTAGTGCGAGAGGCTCATTGTATATTCGAAAATGTACACCTAAGCGAGACTATGACTCTTTCTGAACAAAACGTTGGAACACTATCTGAAGGCCTTGATAAGGTGATAAAGAATTATGTTGTGGAAGAGTCGGGTTTTTTTATCTTCAACAATCAACAGTACAAAATTTAAGTTTTAGATTGTGGAAGATTAAGAGCTCCAAAAATCGCTGAAAAACATTGTTCTACTTTACCTTACTAACAAATTTTTTTCAAGGTACAATCGGTTTTCAAGCAGCTCATGCGTGACTGGAGCAGCTTGGGAGCATTCGAACGCCAGCAATGCTACGAACCCATTATCAAGGAAATTTTTGAAAATTATCCGGAGGACAAGTTTGATCGGGGTAACATCAGCATACTCGTCCCCGGAGCCGGACTCGGTAGACTGGCTTTCGAAATAGCTTCGAAGGGGTTCTCCTGCCAAGGGAACGAATTCAATATGTTCATGCTTATAGTTTCATTTTTCGTTCTGAATCTCTGTAAAAAAGTTGATGAATATGAGATCCATCCTTGGATACACCAGTATTGTAACAATACGAAAGGGGAGGATCAAACTCTCAGTGTGAGGTAAGTGCTAGTTTTAAATTCAACTCAAATACTGCTAACACACATCAGAACTGCAACTGCTAACCGAATTGGCTTCATCAGAAGAAGAACTACACAGTTCTTTCGTGCCGAAGTTTTTCTTCCTGTATCTTCGAGCTAATCTTCGCCTATTTTTACTTCATCAATACACAAGAATATAATTTTCTTCCAGATTTCCAGACGTGATCCCTGAACCCACTCCCGACAGCAAATTCTCCATGACTGCGGGCGATTTTCTGGAAGTATACATTCACGAAGACGAATGGCACTGTGTGGCAACTTGCTTCTTCATTGACTGCGCCCCAAATGTTGTTGAGTTCATCGAAACTATTTACAACATACTCAAACCGGGGGGGCTGTGGATCAATCTAGGCCCTCTCCTCTACCACTATTCCGATGCGAAGAACACCGAAAGCATCGAGCCCAGTTTCGAGGTGCTGAAGCAAGTAATCAAGAGTATTGGCTTTGACATGGAGAAGTGTGAAACGGGGATCAAGACAAAGTACTGTCAGAACCCCAAGTCGATGCTGCAGTACGAATACGACAGCGTGTTTTTTGTATGTAGGAAACCGATTAGGGTGGATAGGAGTTTTGAATATGATAGTGCTAATGGCTATTGTGATATACCTAGTCCTGTTTTGTAAGATAGTTTGATGAATTTTTAAATGTAATTTAAGAGAAATAGTGAATTTGAATCTGTGTCTGAGGGCATTTTAACAAATTTATGTGATATGACAAAGATATTTTTAGAAACCTTGTTAGAATTGACAAATAGAATTCAAATTTTAATTTTTAATTGTACATTTATTTTTAGCAATGACTGAATTAAATGTAGTATTATTTTGTTCAAACTGTCCTGTTTCATTTCTGGAAGAAGAGAGAGATCTTGATTAATCAAAATAATTTCTATTGCCTTTCTATATATTCTTGGACAGTAATTTTGAGTTTTATCGAGTATTACTGTATCTTTGAATGTGATGTTTTGAGTGCCTTCTTTGTTTAGAGCAGCTGATTTGTCGAGTGGACGGGTACGCACCCTTCTTTTCGTGGTTCCAATTTAGACCGACCCGCAGCTACAAGGAATCCGGTACACCCCAGGTGTTGCTATAGGTTATGTGGGACCCTTAGCTGACCTTAAATTTCATCTGATAGTTTTTGTTGGCCTAAGTATTGGCACGGAATCGATACTTTTCAAGAACTCTCTGAATGTCATGTTAAAAGTTATCAATATTGTAATATTATGAAATAAAATTGTTTAACTTCGAGTCGTACAGTTTTTGTAGTTGTTCTATGCTTCCATAGAATAGTAGTAGTCGTTTGTATCAATATTTTACAGCGATTATACGATTTGTTACCTGCTATATTTGACACACGTTTTATGCGTTCTGTGGTTCATTTTAGTGCTCCCTCTAGTTCTGTCACATTACTGTCAATGTCAAGTCACTTTCATATTTTGAATTCGTTTTCAGCGGTTTATAATCAGTGTATTCCATTTTTTTAATTGAGAAGTAACGAGAAAAAACATTAGGTTCAAGAAAATGCTTCGAAGATCAAACAGCAGCTCGCACATACCCGTGCCAAGGACTAATTTATTTGGAATTATTGGTACTGGTGGTTCAAGAAGAGCCCAATCATCCTCTAGGTATGTAGATTTTCAAGAATATGCCCTGTTTTCCTCGAATCCACTATAATTTTCTATTTGATTTTTGTGAGTTCTACAATTTTGTGGGGAAATCATAATTTATTGATGTTTTTTTGGGATTTCAACCTGCCACAATTCAGCATTTCACAAAATCAACAAAAGTTGAAAACAATAAAAAAAGCCTAAGATACAGGAGATATAAATTTTTATTTTTAACTGGAATTTTGTTGCATTAAGTTATGTTGTATTATGGTGTTAACCCTTTGTTACTCACATCTTTTTTCCACCTTTGTCACTTGTTCGGTGAACACTGTGGCATAGTATTCTACCAAGCTTGAATTAATATTATTATTGCTACATCATACAGGTTGAGTCAAAACAATGAACAAGCAAATGGTGCCAAAAAACCGAAACGTACTACTTCTTTGGAAAGGAAATCGAGCATCACACGATTATCCAAACTAACACCTATGAATTCAAGAGGCAGAGGCCCAAGCACACTAAGAAGTACCCCTGGATCTAGTACCATCAGTCAAAGAAGCTGTGGATCAAGAGTAAGATTATATTAATATGAGATGCTTATATATTTTCATATAGTAAATTTATTAAATGTTTTAAGCTAACTCAGACCGATTCTGCTCTGAAAGAAAGAAAAACCATCCAGAAGTTGTCAACTGATAAGTTTTGGGTTGCAGAACAATTCTCCAAGGTAATATTTTCTCTCAGACCTTTTATTGAGTTTAAGTTTTCACCTGCTCTAGAAAAAATATTTTTCCTCAGGTTCAGCATTTCATAAATTTCAGCCAACTTTTCGATCCCAGCATGGTAACATCAAGCAACATTAAACCGCCTTCCATCAAGGCGTTCATTTATATAACCTCTGTTCTTCTAAGAGAAATGTTTCCCAACGTCCAACTGACAAGTCAGAATTACAAAGAGGTTATACCGCAAAAACTGAAAGTGTTGCATTATCCAGGGACAATAGCTGTTTCAGTTCTAAAGACAGGCAAGTAATATTTTGAGTGTGTTCTTTGAGACATTTCTCCATAAATCAGTAGGTTCGACCAACGTTCAATTCTTTATAACTTGTTGCGGGATATGAATTTCCTAACATTTGATTTCAGTTAACACAATGCATGCTTGGCCCCAAGTCATAGGCATGTTCGGTTGGTTGATTGACAAAATAAATATGGGTCATGGTTTGGAAGATATCTCTTTGGATCATTTAGAACCAGAAGAAAGGCAGAAATTTTTGCTGACCAAGGTTTGTGGTTCAAATTTCATACATTTTGCTGTTCTTATGACAATGGAAGCGAAAAGGAAAGTTGGAATAATAATAATCGACTTTATTCATCACAAGAGATAAAGGATATCTTATTTGTATTTACATTACATTAATTGATAGAAGACGAATGACGTAGAGTTGAATATTTAGTTGTTGTTTTTTTCACGCTTTATATTAGCTTCTCCTGTATGTATGTTTGTGACTCTCTTCTTCATTTTATATCGGGATTTGTATTTGACAGAATTATCAACATTATTGCTTGATCTACTCGCGGGCAGATGGCGCTGTACGTAACCTTGATATATCGACATTATTGCTTGATCTAGCGGGTAGATGACGCTGTTCGTAACCGCCTTGATATATCGACATTATTACTTGCTCTATTCGCGGGAAGATAGCGCTGTAAGTAACCTCGTTGATATATCAACATTATCGCTTGAGCTAATATGACAAAAAAATTGGAGATCCAGTAATTATTTGAACATTAAGGATCTTGTGTTTTACTGTTCGCAATGAAAAATCTATACTATTTCCATTTGTTACCAGAATGTCATTGATCACATGGTCAGTAGATATCTGATATTCAATGCTCATGACAATGACCCTGAGGAAATTGCTGCAGCGAATGCCGATTACCTGAAAAATATTGCCTATATATTGGAGTTTGATCCGGAGAAGCATGCAAAACTGGAGAGAGACATGCAGCACAAACAAGAGTATCATAAAAATATTTTAGCTGAGGTGGAAAAATTGACTTCAGAAAACCAGGTAATACCTGTCAATAATTCGTTGTTCGCATTTGATTCTTACGCAATGAAAAGTATTCAGAATATGTGTTCTTCTTTACCTGTTTACTTTGCTCAGATTCGACATTAAAATTTGCTCATGAAAATTCCGGAGGTAAAACCTTGGAAAGGGTGTTGATTGGGTAACATTCTTGTTTTGTCATAGTTTGAAATAAGGCAGCATCATAGAATAGTCACTAATAATTTTTTATTATAAATAAGAACTTCCCATATAACATATTCTAATATAAATTACATTTTGGAATATTTCTCTATCAAAAACGTAAGTTATTTAATCAAATTGTTTATATTGCACACTATTTTGGTAGAAAAAATTAGCTACTATGGTGTTCAGCTCACAGCTCTCAGTATAGTCTCAATAGATACCAATAAATTGAACAGTATAAAGTCGAATCACAAAGAACTAAAGCATGGTACCCCTCAGGGCTCCTGTTTACTTCCACTATTGTTCTTGATATATGCAGTTTCATGAAACTGCATATAACAACACATACTCCGTGCATATGTATTGTTTCCCATTTCCGGCAAACAAGTGTTGCCCATCTGTGCACTTGGCTGCACCATGCTGATGAGGCCAATAGCCAGAAACACGTGTTAGCGGTTTGCCCCCTTTTTGGAGTGTTGTACTATTAATCGTTATATTTTTTATTAATTTCTATATTGCAGAAAATAGAATCTCAGTTGAAAGAAATCCAGCAAGCCCTCGACCAAAACAAACAGTCAGATTCACAAGAAGAAGCGGAACTAGATGCTGAGTTTCACCGATTGGAGAGTACCATCCAAAAGATCAAGGAAAAGAAAGTGAGCTTGGAAGAAAGCATCGCCAAGTTGTCAGAGGCAATAAAGACGCAACCATGCAGTTACAAGGAAAAAATGGAGCTGCTGAAGAGAATCAAAGCTCTGGAAGATAAAAGGGATATCGTTAAGGGAAAGATTGAGCACGCTCAGAAAATCAAGAGTGACTTTGATGCCAAACTCAATGCCGAACAAGCCACGGTGAGTATCTCATCACTGATATCGGTAGATAGACGAAATTGTGTGAATAATTAAGAAAAAAAGAATTCACAATAGAGAACTTGCACGGGTTTTTGATGTGACAACCAAATATTGTAATCAATACAAACGTAATTATTGAGAGTGGTTAAAATAACTCATAAAAGTAGTGAAGGTATCATTTTAAATCAACAGGAATTTGCAGGAAGCCACTATTAAGTCGCTAAGCCTTGTTAGGAATTTCCGCTTGAAGTACATTTCAGTACATCTGAATTCAACAATAACCAAAAGGAGCATTTACAGTTCATTTTCTAAAGCTTTACAGTACCAAAAGTTCATTTTGTATCAAAATAACTTTTCCGGAAAATTTATATTACCAGCGGTTTCGAGGTGTTACCCTTCATCAGTGTAGGAAAGATCCGTCCCGAACAGCAAAATGCCTGGGACTCGATTAATTTCAATGCGGCTTGACTGCATGAGTAACAGCTCCATCTCGTGAACAGAGACCCAAGCCAGCCGCGTTCAAATTAATCGAGGCTCAGGCACTTTACTGTTTGGATCGGATCTATCCTCCACTAATGAAAGGTACTACCTCGATCTACTCAAATAATTTCAGCATGGTTCTGCTTCTGGATGAACGAGAAACATCTGCGAGACTAATATCTGTCACATATCCTGCCTAGATGTCTGTTGGATATAACTCACTATCCAGCGTGGTATTAGCCGGGGAAGTAGTTGTTCTCCGGCAGGATAATGCAAACTTAAAATTTGTTTCGTTCAATAAAAAGAAGTCCAGATCGACCTATGTTTTAATTTATAGCTTTTCAAATCTAGGAGGAGACTTAATAATTCTCACTCTCGCTCTCGTTGTTTTCTAAATAACACACATCCAGTGGGCTGGACCATAACGGAATTCAGAAAGCTCTTCCTACATTTGACAAGTTGCATTTAAGAACATAATGCAGCAAATTTGAATTATCTATATCTATTACTATTATCGAGTCATTTTTAGTTGCAAAATCTGGTCATTGATTGGAATCGGTCCTTGATGGAAGTGTCCATCAAAAAACCTGAACTGAAAAAGCTTATGCTAAAAGAGACCGGTTTCCACAAACCTTCCTATCTGGATGAAATAAAGAAAGTTGCCCAGCTGAAAATAGAGTTCGAAGCCGAAATGGCTCGGAAAATGGTGGACATTGAAAACGAACTGAAAGACAAAACAGCCAGAAAGAAAGCCATCGAAAATGAGGTTGAAACTCTAGAAAAAATGATATCAGAAATAGATGAACAAATGCAGAGACATGGCAAGAAAAAGGTTGAAATGGAAATGGATTTTGCGAGGGTGAGAGATATTTTTTATCGCTATCATTGTTTGAAGCTTGATAATTTTCTAGGTGAAGGCGGAATACGAAAAAGAAAGAGAAGAGCTAACGCAAGAGCTGAGGAATCCCCAGAAAGAAGAAGAGCTCAAGATCCTATCGGAGAAAGAGTCGTTATTGAGAAACGAAATGGAAAGCATGGATAAACTGGTAAAGACTGAGCAAAAAAAGATTGTGTGTTTCTTTGTGGATCTTCACAAACAAGTCAGGCATAACATCTCAGAAATGGACAATATACTGAAAAACGTTGAGCAAAAATTTGAACAACGTGCTCTGCAAGCCCTAGAAAACGGATCTCGAATAATAGATACGATGAAAACTTTGAAGGGTTCAGAAAGTTCAGGCGAATGATTTTTCTTTGTTACCTCAAGTTGATAAGTTCAAATCTTTTATATTGCTTTTTGTAATAAGCATAGTGATCTCTAAGTTATTCGAAAAATTTAGTTTGAGTATAAAAGTAAATATAACCAACAGGAATGGCACATCGGATTCAAATTTTTTATAACAGATGTTAACAGGGGATTTAATTGCAGTTTTTATCCTTGCCTTTGTGAGTACCAAGTCGAATATTATTTATTTTGAGATGTCATTTAGAAGGACTCGCCACCACGAGTGACATTTCATCCAGCAGTAACGTAACCTTCTCGTATTCAAACATTATTTTCTCTCGATTTTGATATTTTACACCGCTTAAGACACATTTGGGGTAATGGCTCAAATGTTGATTGAAATTGCTTGTGTAGCCTGTTTTTTTAAAATTTTTTTAATAAATGTTCTGTGAAAAATCATGTAAGTACTATTGACAAGCATTCATAATAAACTCCTTTACAATTCATGAGAAATATAGGTGCAAAATTAATTTGAACTAAAAATTTATTTATAACTTACTGAAGTCGTGGAAAGTTTTAACAATGTGGGATAAAACAAACAGCGAAGAGGCCGTTCAAGAACATAAGCATACTTATTACAATTAATAATCCCCCTAGCGGTTTCGAGGTGTTACCCCTCATCAGTGTAGGAAAGATCCATCCCGAACAGCAAAATGCCTGGGACTCGATTAATTTCAATGCGGCTTGACTGCAAGAGTAACAGCTCCATCTCGTGAACAGAGACCCAAGCGAGCCGCGTTCAAATTAATCAAGGCTCAGGCACTTTGCTGTTTGGATCGGATCTATCCTCCACTAATGAAAAGTACTACCTCGATCTACTCAAATAATTTCAGCATGGTTCTGCTTCTGGATGAACGAGAAACATCTGCGAGACTAATATCTGTCACGTATCCTGCCTAGATGTCTGTTGGATATAACTCAATATCCAGCGTGGTATTAGCCGGGGAAGTAGTTGTTTTCCGGCAGGCATTTACCAGAAACTACGGTGTGGGTAGTTGGTAGAGATGAACATTTCGCGATTTTATTTTGATATATTCATTTTCTTATAGTATGTATCTTTCCTTGATACGGTATTCAAACTTGTATAAAATGAAATAAAGTATGGTTGCACGTTGGGGGACTATGAAAAGACTAAATAACTGTTTATGAGAAATAGCAAATATTTGTGTTGTATCCTCAAAGATATTGGAGATAGATTAGTTGCTTGGATTGTTGATGATGAAGGAATAAATGAAGTTTGAAATTGACGTAATTTAGAAATCTGAATTGAAAACGTTCAATATTTTGTGAGTGGGTGTTGTAATAAAGGTTCCAAACAGGAAAACAGTATTCAGGTCTGACTAAGGCACAGTATAAGATTATTAAAGAGGCTAACATGAAAAATGAGAAATAAAACTTCCTTTGTTTTTATACCATTTGTATTTGTGACTAATATTACTGCAGTTTCGTCCTACAGTGACATTTTCAAATAAATACAGTAAACTGAAATAATTATCATTGTTAACCCAGACGTTATTTTTTTCATAAACCCAATTATCTCAATGCTTTATTTACCCTAGAGCAAATATGTAAATTCTAGTTAAAGATAGAATCAAGGATGACTCCCAGGTCTTTGATGTTAGGAACAGCATCTAAAACTACATTATTGATCTGATAATCGATAATTATTGAAAAATGAGTAATAAGAGCTTGAAGATTTAGTACATCAGTGGGTAAAACAATCTTGGAAAATATTTTGAGATCTTCAGCAAATAAGGGGGCTGCAGTTATGTCATCGATAAAAATATTGAAATGCAAGAGGCCCAAGTGAGAACCCTGAGGAACGTCCGATGTTACCGCAATTTGCTGGATATGAAATTATTAATCTTTATGACTCTTATTCTTTCTGGAGGTTAACTAGAATCCATTTTAGAAATGGCCGTGATANTGTAGCCTGTTTTTTTAAAATTTTTTTAATAAATGTTCTGTGAAAAATCATGTAAGTACTATTGACAAGCATTCATAATAAACTCCTTTACAATTCATGAGAAATATAGGTGCAAAATTAATTTGAACTAAAAATTTATTTATAACTTACTGAAGTCGTGGAAAGTTTTAACAATGTGGGATAAAACAAACAGCGAAGAGGCCGTTCAAGAACATAAGCATACTTATTACAATTAATAATCCCCCTCATCAGGAAAAGTAAGCAAAGCACTTCCCCCCCTCCCGTGCTCATGTGAATTTTATTATATCCATTTTTCTTTTATTGTAATCTGTTCTTTTTTATTGATCCATGAACAGCAGTTATAATTCTAGAAATAAGAAAATAGATTCAGGATAGAGGACTTCAACGCACATAATATTTAAAGAAACTTCATTGACACGGTATTCAAGAAAGAGTCCATGACAATAACATTGTATATTTGTTGCTCACTTTCATCTGATTTTGGAATATCTGCGAGTTCTCATCAAAAGTGAACATTAACGTGCTTTACTTTGCTTACAATATGTCAAATCTTATTGAAACGAAACAGTAAATTGACGGAAAAAATTTAGGCAAGTGAATAGCTTGCGGAATTCCCCTACTCGGTTCTGAGTGCCTAAAAGTAAACATTATTCATGGGAATCCCCAAAAATGCGTTTCGTTTTCAAACATAGACAATGTGTGGGTTGTCATAGGTGTAAAAAAGTAAATAAACTACTGCTGATGTAATCGCCATCTAGACTTCCCCGACCCCCATGTCACCAAAACTAAGCAAAGCAAAGACCTCTCGCCCCCAGTCAGTGCCTACGTAATACTTGAACCGCCCCTAAGAACAAATTGAAAATGATTTTTTAATAACAATCATTGAAAAAGGCTACTCTCCCAGTCACTGTTCAAAAAATAATTTGAATGTTCAAATTTCGCGGGCTTTTGTACATTCGATTAGCGATTTTTTTCAAGTTAGTATACTTGTCTCGAACATATGTTCACAGTTCCAGCTGTTCAGCATGTTTGTTGGTGAGAGGCATAAAAGTTGGAAGTGTTTTGCGTTTTCGACGATTTTCTGATGTCAAAAGCTACAAACTCCTTCTCAATACGACTAGTATGGTGCTTTTTCAATGATACAGTTTGACTTGAAGACTTTGATTTTTCACAATGTGGATTCGTTGCTATGAATTCTCAATTGTGATTTCAAGCAAACTTTGCACTGGTGTGGTTTCTCTCCTGTATGAAGTCTTTCATGTGCTAACAAGTGGCTTTTTCGCTTGAGAACCTTCAAACAAATCGAACATTTGAACAATCTTTTCGAGAGTGATTCGTTTGATGTCTTCCTAAAGCAGAAGAGGAGGTGTAAGATCTCGAGCAAACTTTACAACTGATGAACGTCTCTTCTGTAAGCTTCCTTTGATGTTTCCTTAATAGGTATTCAAAGGCAAATGATTTGAAGCACACTCCGCATTTGAACAGTTGTTCAATAAATGACGGGTAAATTTTGGACATTGCTTACACAGATACAATTTCTTTTCAGTATGAATCATTTCGTATCGCTTCAAGGTAGAACTGCTTTTGAATCATTTTTCGCAGATTTTGCAATTAAAATATGTTTTTCCGTTAATCAGCGTTAATCATACGAACGACAACCCTCAGAAGTTGAGAAACTTGTGCGAGCTAAGGAATAACGAGGTCTTACCTTTCCTAACATGATTTTCCACGTCTAGGACATACGTCCATAGGAAGTTTTTTTCTTAAAATGGGTCTAAGAATTACCTCCTTAAATATTAGCATGTGTTTAAGGAACACCCTGTAGATTATAACGACAAGTAGCCACATTGTTTGCTGCTGCATAATTACTCGTATCTAATCCTAGAGAAAATTCGATGACAACATTAAATTTGTCTCTAAATCTTTCCGTTGGAGATAGTCTTTTTTAATGAATTAAAATATGAGGAAATTTATGAATTGGTAAGGACTCTGTGATTTTCTTCTTTCCTTGCAACTTTAACACGTCGGTTTTTCATTCAAAGTTTCCTGCATTGTGAAGAAATCTAAGCATTGTGGCCACCAACTCAATTGGCCAGTTTTTTGTTTTATGAGGAGAGACAAATCCAGAAAAGATTGAAGGTTACTGATGATAGTCCACAGTGTGTGCACTTCATCGTGGATTTTAATTGGCCAACGAAATTATCCATAATCTTAGTTATATATACTCAAATGGCTCAGCCATGATTCTTGTGACTTTTCGCTGAAGTAATATGCATTGCCTAGTAAAAACAACAGAAATGTCTGTAGAGAAAAATGGTTGTTCAACATATACATCACTGAGAGAACAAAATCCCATTTTTGATAAAGTTCAGTTCAGTTCAATACAAAATATTCACATGTTACAATCACCTGTTTGAGCTGAAGTCATTTTCATGTTCATAAGTAAATTCTTCTTGGTCTTCGTTAGCCGGGAACTCTTTCTTGATTTTATTCATGACAAATTCTTTGGTATCTTCGTTAGTAGCATACTCTTCAGTACCATCGCTCGTTATCGATATTTTCCTGTCATTACATGTCAGGAGATCTGCAGTGTCTGTTCCTGAGAACTCTCCCAAAAGAGATACTTTCTGATCAGATTCCATAAAGTAATCCATGTCTTCGTGACACTTCTCATGTTTTGCTAAATTCCTATTTGACGAGAAAGATTTCCAGCAAAACTGACACTGGTATGGTTTTTCCCCAAAATGAGCCCTGTTATGGACATTCAAATGACTCTTCTGCGTGAAAGTCTTCGGACAAATAGAGCATCTAAATGGTTTTTCTCCGGTATGAATCATCTCGTGCCTTTTCAAAGTAGAAGCAGACGAAAACGATTTTTGGCACGTTTCACACTGGAAACGCTTCTTTCTCGTATGAATCATTCGATGTCTCACCAGATGCGAATTGCCAGTGAACAGTTTCGAACAAACCTCACACTTGTAAGGTTTGTCGCCAGTATGTATTCTTTGATGAGCGATTAAATGAGACCTGAATGAAAATGTACTCAAACAGACTTCACACTTAAACGGTTTTTGTCCGTTATGGAGTTTCAAGTGCTCTTGCAAGTCAGACTTGTGCAAGTAAATTTTGGGACAATGTGCACATCGAAATGGTTTGTTAATGTGCGTACTCTTGTGTTTAGCAAAATTAGAACTCGAAGAAAACGTTTTTGGGCACAACTTGCAAACATACGGTTTTTCACCAGTATGAGTTCTCTCATGTGCTGACAAATGAGAGTCACGAACGAAAGCCTTTGGACAAAAAGCACACTTGAACGGTTTTCTTTGGGTATGGATTGTCGCGTGTCTCACTAAGTGGGATTTAACAGAAAACATTTTCAAACAAACTTCGCACTGAAACGGTTTATCACCCGTGTGAATCCTCTGATGGGTAGTCAAATGAGAGCTGAAAGAGAATGACTTCGAACAGACTTTGCATTTGAATGGTTTCTCTCCTGTATGAACTCTTTGGTGGGCTATCAAGTGAGACTTGAAGCAAAAATTTTTTGAACAAATTTTGCATCCGTATGGGTTTTCCCCATTGTGAACTTTCATGTGAGCTTTCAAATAGTATTTTTGGGTGAAGGATTTTAGACAGACTTTGCACTTAAATGGTTTTCTTCTTGAACGAACTCGTTGGGAAGATTTTCCAGTTGACAGTTTTTCAGTAGATCCTTGTTTCTTTGTCTCTATTTCACTTTGTTCTAGGTAGTCTGATGGTTGCATTTCAAACTCTGTAAAAAGTACTGACATATAGGAACTATAATTTCAAGGCGCAACAGAAATTTGCTAGGTACTGCAGAACTCTGCAGATGAACTATTCTTACATTATGTACAAATTTCATCAAAAATGGTATTGGTTATTATTGCTGTTTTAAATAATAATGAATTTTCTTCATTTAAGTGCCGTTGTTTAGCATAAGCTACTATTCCACTCGACGGTGATATTCAAAGCCAATAAAATTATTTTGAAATATGGGTCAAATATACTATTTGAGTATGCCAGGTTTACCTGCGGCAGTTTCATTGAAGGAGTTTGCCTTCATGCCTGGAGAGTCCCATTCAAACTCTTGACCAGAAATTTCTAAGGGATCATGCTCAATGAACTCTTCTTTACAAAATTCTATTTCATCTTTTGGAAAGACATAATCGTCCATCTCTGTTTTAACCTGCACTTCTTGAAATACAAAATTGGACTGAAAGTCTTTTGCCATAGTGACTCAAACTCAAAGCTGTTCTATTATGAAAAATTTAAAAAACATCCATTTGTTTTGAAGAAATGTCAAAAAAAGCTTTTTCTTTCCTTGATAATGGCTATGTTGTCTAGAGCAATTTGCCAGTCTTCGGGTATTCGATAATCACCCTAATAGACTCACAGAACACTAATATACGTCATAGAGACTAGCGTCTAGAGACAAACATAGTCATGCTTGAGCACTTCAATACAGGTTTGAAAAGACGAGAACTTTTTATTTTTAATAACAGTTTTATAAAAACGGAACACGTTTTTGTAAAACTTCAGGCATGTCTATACTCGGAGTAGATTTTTTGGTGAAAATCTTGCATTAAAGTGTTCCTTGAATTACTTGAAAAGAATTTTTCTTCAAACAACGGAATAATTATTTCAGAAGTTTCTTCACGACAGACGCACCTACATTTTTCAGCTGCGTTCGATTATACCATTTACGTTAATAGTGTTTGGATATTTTCGAGTTTTTCTTGAACAAGTAATCAAAGAAAGAACAAAAAAAAATTAGCCCATTAGAAGACCAAGGATTTCGCAAATGATCTATGTAACTGATAAATCTTTTCGTCAAAATTTCATTTTATACTGCCATATTTCAGTGTTGGCTTTGAATAACTACGCCAATAACTATTAATGTATAAGGAAAACATCAAGAAAACAAAAACATATACTATATTGCATTTTCATTACAGTACCATATCCACCTTTTTAGTAACCGGTCACTTGTGGTAGTATTTCTATTTCAATATTTTTTATTTTGTCACCATCCCCAATTTCAACACTTCTGTCCTCAACTTCCTCAGACTCAAGAGACCAATAAATCAGATATATTAACATGAAGCACCTGGTGCAATTTCAGCTGTGCATTTCTAGTAAAAGATTCGGAACAAACCTTGCATTGAAAAGACTTTTCTCCTGTATGTGTTTTTTCATGTATCACCACTGAAGCTTTGGCTAAAAATAATATGATAATAATGTCTATAAACGTCGTCACTGCTATCAAAAATAGTTTACATTTTCCAAGATTGATTGTTCTAGTAAGATTTTTTTTATGAATATAAAAATTTGACTCAATCAAGAACTGAGTAAATTTTACTTACACAAAAAGGGTTTTGAACAAACCCTACATTCATGAGACTCTGTCCCATGGCGGTTTTTCATGTGCTTCCTCAAATAACTACTCTGGCCAAAATACTTCAAACAGACTTTGCACTGAAAAGGCATTTCCTTCGTGTGAACTCTCTGGTGTCTCAGCAAGGTGTAATTGTGAGAAAAGGTTTTTGGACACAAACTACACACGAATGGTCTCTCTCCTGTATGAACTCTCTCATGGTAATCCAGATTGGATTTGTAAGGAAACGCCTGTGGGCAGATTTGGCAACGAAAAGGTTTATCGTCCTTATGAATTTTCTGATGTGTCGCCAAAGTAGATTGTTTAGCAAAATATTTCAAGCAGATGGGACATTGGAATGGTTTCTCTCCTGTGTGGACTCTCTCGTGATTCAACAAGTCCGATTTCGTGGAAAAAGCTTTTGAACATAATTTGCAACTATACGGTTTTTCTTTCGTATGAAAGCGTTCATGTATTTTCAGAGTGGATTCTATAGTGAAAGTTTTTGAACAGAACCGGCATTTATGTGGTCTTTCCTTTCTGTGAATTCGGCTTTCATGTCTTTTCAGGGCTGAGCTTTCTGAGTAAGTCCTAGGACAAAATCTGCACTTGAGGGAGGAGTTTTCTTTGGCAACTGAAGGTTTTTCTTCTGTAGTAGATGCAGAGTTGTTTTTTTGAGGAAGATGTACATTCTTAGTGGAATCTTAAAAAATAGAGAAGGTTGAAAGGATACAGAGGCTTACAACTATTTCTACTGTAATTATTTAGGAAAGTTATTTGGTCATGAATGCAGGGAAATAATATAATTCACTTCAAAGAAATTAACGTCAGTTGACATGATTGAGTCTTCTGAAAATGCCAAATTTCTAGGACCGTATGGTGTCTTAAATGTGAGGAAGGAAACAAAAATGTACTCAATACAACTCAACTTTCTATATTATGCATATTGTGCTCTGATATATACATATATATTCTAATAATAATTAAAAAAAAACACGATTCATAATACACGTAAACAGAATAGTTGAAATCTGAAGCAGTCTCGCTACAGATATGGTAGAATTCTTTTGAAAAGTACCATCAGAAAGAATTCAACCTATGTGTTATATTTGGAATACTGATTGACCATTTCATTTGTTAATTGTGTTATATAAATGTCCATCAAAACTCTCATTTTAAATCATGTAAAACTCACCTTCATTCGTTTCTTCCTCAATAATTTCACGTTTTACGTTATTATGAAATAAACCTATATCTTCCTCAATTTTGATTGGCTCTCTCTTACATTCAATGAATTCCACCAAACAACTTTCACTGTCTTCTGTATCATGTTCCTCTTCAACTAGTTCTTCCTTGATTCGATTTAATGAGATTTCCATTTTTTCATTAGCACTCCCACAAGAATAAACGTCCATTTCCGTTTTGAGGCTCCCATCAAATACATTGATTTCGAATTCATTTTTGAATTGATCCTCCTTAGATCCAATATTTATCATCAAGGAATCTTCAGCACAATCACAGTGATTTTCAGTTTTGATTTTGAGTGATTTGTTGATGGTGTTAACAGCAGATTCTTGCTTTTGTTCCAGAATTGCATATTGCTGAATATCCATTTTTGTCTCCTAAGATTTTAGAAGAGAGTAGTATTGATTATAGCCCTAAATATAGATAATTGTTCGCAAATGATTATTAGAATGTTAATGAAATTAATATTGATAAATACTAATTTCAATAGTAGAAGCAATTGAAAAAATTACAATGCAGTCCATTTACAATATATTTTTCATTATTATTTTGATGAAACTTTTCTTAGTTCACAAATATTACCATGTTCAGGTATTTTTAAACAGTTGGAATGAACTGATGAATTGTCTTTGTTGTAATATTAGGATAATACGAAAGACTTAATGAGAGTAGTTCATTTAGTCGCCTTGAGTATTCTCACAAGCTATAGCATAAATACATTGAAGCATTCCCAGAAGAAAAAATAAATAGCTGGGAACAACAGAACAAAAAATAGTTGGGAGCATCTGAAGAATTTTAGCAAAAAAACAATAAAACTAAATAGCATTTTCTTTACATACACACTTCCTTTTCTTTTTACTCGAACATGATATCAAGAATTTGGAAGGTGGGCAAAATTGTACTTACCTTTAGAGTATGTTTATCACTCAATATAAAAGGAAGACATTTCTAATTATTCTGATAGTCCATAAAATCATTATAATTTTGAAGTTGCTAACTTTTGCACTAAAGTACTCTTGCGTACAACTAAAAAAAATCAGTGGTTCGTTGTCCATATAGGTAATTCAACTTAAACGCATTTAAGGAATCAAAAAATATAAACACGTATAGACAGACATATCTCAGCTGAAACCTGTCAATCTTACTGTCAATATCATTCCGTTAAGTTGTCATTGTCAACACAGAACACCTGCGACTGTCAATTGTACAGTGTTCGTGCTTTGGNTGCGATCGGATGATAAAAAAGGTTCCGTATGGTAGGTGTACGAGATTTTAAATTGTAGGTTAGGTTACATCATTTGTAACGTTAGAAAAAAATCTTTTTTTTTAAAACTAAGATCAATTTTTCTAAATATTTTCTTAGTGAATAAATAAAAAATAAAATTCATTTTTTCATGGGTACTTTCTAAGACATTCTTTGAATGATGTTACAGTGGGCCACCTATATACAATATTAGTCTTTGAAAATGGCACGTGTAAGTCATTTCACTGTCTTTAAATATGTACAAATACGGCAAGGTTAAAATTTGCTTAGTTTTGAAAAAAATATCTACAACTAGAGGTATGAGAGACAACAGCGATACAATGAATCAATATCGCAATATGAAAACATCATTAAAACAAGTGGATGACACCTGAAAACATTCCGTATCTTAGTGTGGATTTGGCATGTGTATAACACTATCTTTCTCCTTCAGAACTAATCACATGTTTTTAATATTCGTAGATATCTGACAGAGTCAAGTTTCGAAATTACTGACTCACAGTGAGTCTTCCAGCCAAGAAACTCATCGATATTACACATGATATATTTTCCAAAACTTCAATATAAATATTTACATAAATGGTAGGCACTTTCGTTTCTAGAAGTACACAATTTTTTAAATCTTTCACGTAGCATCAAAATTGTTTGGCTATCACCGATTATGTAATAATTTTAAAAGTTCTACCCCAAAAAAACATGTTCTGCAACACATACAATATATTTTTTATGCTATTTTTTTTCATAGCGACGTTCTATTCAATATATTTTCATCACTATTTGTCACTAGTTTTATCACGAAAATTGTCCCGTTGCATCTAACGATTTCTCAACTTTCTTTCCCATGTTTATAATTGATTCCAGATTCAATGAAACTCTTGGTACAGAATAAAACAACTGCTTCAATGGTCACACATTTATTTTTTGAGTACTAATAAAAAATTAGTATAATATATATATGTATGTATAATAAATATCTCTCCATATAACTATATCAAAAGCATCACAAACATTTTATGCATTTCCGAAAAAGAAAGTAAGTTAAAAATACCCTGAAACGTACACACGCAACTACTCTTCGAATTTGTGGACAGATAGAAATGTTTCATCTGTTCTAATATTTTCGACATACGTCGTATCTGAACGATAAGATGCAAAATGTTTGTCGTCAAAGGCGAATTACTAAATTCATCGGTAAGTTTACATTTTATGCATTTCCGAAAAAGAAAGTAAGTTAAAAATACCCTGAAACGTACACACGCAACTACTCTTCGAATTTGTGGACAGATAGAAATGTTTCATCAAAGTTGCTTCACACCTTTCAAGAGAATTTATTATCTATGTGGCGGATATAAATCACAAGAATTTTTTTCGATAAAAACCATCAGTTAAAAACCAAAATTTTATTCAGTGGCATAGGTCAAGGAGAAGTAGGACAAATTTAAGAAATGCATAATATGCTAAATAAAATGGACTGTAACACTACCTTACTGGTTTCCCAACCTATAAAAACAGTAACCAATTCTGTACCTAAAAATAACGAAAGTATCAATATATTTTCCGAATTTCTCCTCACAAATTCATGTAACTTTCATAATACCAGTAGTGTTAAAGAAACGTTTAAAATTATCCTACGTCGTATTTACAACATTTACACTGAAATGGCAGTTGATGAGCTATTTCGTCTAGAATGGAGATGAAAAACAAAAACGATATTTTTTTATTGGATTTTCCAAACAAAAACTGTCTGTTCGTCAGGTGGACCATTCCGAGAGTTTCAACTGAAGTGTTTCAAAAACTCCAAATTATGTCAATAACAAAAATCATCAAGATGCATCACTAGTTTTTTGTCCATATCTTCCGATACATCGTTCTTTGCCATGCGTATGGTGCATTGCGTAGACCGAAAGGCATTCAGCGAAATCCCGAATGATCCTCCTACTTCTGAAAAAAACAACCGAGTACCAAGCGGCACAGGTATCTGTAAAAATTCGTGGACGACGGATTATCATTGCCAACAGAATTGACTCCTAGTTACTTCCTAGGCGAGAATTTCGGATTAGAAGGGGCGTGAGTGAAGCTGCGCAGTTCGTAGCTCATGTCAATACCGTGAGCTGTTGCTGTGTCCATGTCGCACTTGCGGAATATTATCATTCTTATGTCGCTGTGGAGGTAGATTTTTCCTGACTTTGAACTCATGAATCTGCAAAAGGCAAAAATAATAGTGAAAGTTATCCGGAAAACGTCTTCAGTGTTTTTTACCTCAAATGTATGAGATACCTGAGCCATTTTGGACCCCACTCTAGATTGGCGTCTTTGCATTTGGTCGGCATGTAGAGTGTGCGTTGTCTAATGAAAGTTTGGGAGTTGGGCGGCATGTCAGAGAGATCATACATGATGACGAACATTTTCACCACCGTCCTCAGGGGGTTGAACAGGGTAACTTGAACGGTTCCTGATTTGGGCACGTTATAGCCTTTCTTGCCGAGGTTAATATGACTCTGAAAAATAAAAAGGAAACCTAAATCAAAAACCAATATTATATAAAAGATTTTATTCACTTATCTAGATTTGGATTTAGGCTGTTTGCTGTTCTCAAAATTAATAATTGATGATCAATTAGTATTTAATATGCAAGAGTGGCTTTCATGAATCTCTTCTTTTTCTTTGCAAAAGTGCTCTTTTCTGTTAAACCGAGATGCGTTGCAAAAGTTCAAAACTGTATGAACTGCTAAATAGCATTCCTTATCCCAAAACGAGATTTTATCAAGACAATTTTTTTAGATAACTGTTTGTTTACACTAAGCATTTAGTTGTTGATTTTTCTACTATATCTTCTCTTTGGCTTTTTTTAATTTCGAGACATTTGCATTAACTGATTCTCGACTTTCATTAAATTTGTATGAAGAGATATCTAACTAAGTCTTTTTTAGTTGTGAATAGGACTAATCTTTGAATAAATAAACTGGGAGATGTCATTTACATATATTAAGAATAGGATGGTGCCCAGGACCGATCCTTAAGGAACACCCAAATTTCAATTTTATTCAAATTGAACAATATTACAGTTTTCATAAACTGTTTTTGATTATCTAGACAGAAATGAACTATTTTGAAGTTGAGGTATTGGGGTCATAATTATAAAGAATTTTTCACTGGTTCATGATAATCAAGTTGATCTAGGAGATCAACAAAGAACTCCAAACCTCCAATCATAAATGATGGGGGTTTGGAAATCACTTCATATCTCTCTGCAGCAGTCCCTTTAATAAAGCAGTAGATGAAATGAGAGCCCAAAAGCGTTGCTTTTATATCCGACAGTATAAAATATTTGGAAATAATTGATAGCACCCATAATTTCAATTTGTCAAAAGCAAAATTACCATTCAATTTGAACAAATATAAATGGTTTACTTCAAACCAAATTTGATGAAAATCCATTACTTTTTCAAGTGAAACTTGTGAGATTTTCACCAGAAAGTTTACAATTTTGCTATACAATACTTACTCAAGCGTTTTCATACTCGCTATGGAATAGATGTTTTGCTATACAATTCTTCCTCAAGCGTTTTCATATTCAATTTACTCGTGATTGTATAGAGTGTTTTGATATACTTTCTCAAGCGTTTTTATAATCAATATACCCGTGATTGTATGGCGAGTTTTGCCATACAATACTTCCTCAAGCGTTTCCATACTCAATATACTCGTGATTTTATAGCGTGTTTTGCTATACAATTCTTTCCCAAGTGTTTTCATACTCAATATACTCGTGATTGTATAGCGAGTTTTGCTATACAATTCTTCCTCAAGCGTTTTTATTCTCGATATACTAGTGATTGTATAGCGTGTTTTGCTATACAACACTTCATCAAACGTTTTCATACTCATACTCGTTGTATAGCGTGTTTTGCTATACAATACTTCCTCAAGCGTTTTCATACTCGCTATGGAATAGCTATACAATTCTTCCTCAAGTGTTTTCATACTTAATATACTCGTTATTGTATAGCGTGTTTTGCTATACAATTATTCCTCAAGCGTTTTCGTACTCAACATAGTCGCTATTGTATTGCGTGTTTTGCTACACAATACTTCTTAAAGCGTTTTCATACTCACTATATTCGCTACTGTATAGCGTGTTTTGCTATACAATACTTATACAAGCGTTTTCATACTCACTATACTCGCTATTGTATAGCGAAACATGGGTTGCGATTTTGTAAACTTTCCAGCGAAAAAGTTATACAATGAAATGTTACTTAAATAACCAAACTTTTGTTTGTGTTGTGATACGTTTGAAATTGAGGATTCAGAAAAAAAACTGGGGTAAAATGATCTTAATAAGCGACAAGACTGTTTGCAACTCAGCACTTACAAGATATGGTGAGGACACTTTGTCGTTGTCGCCCAAAGTGTAGAAAAATACTGTGACGGGCACGACGAGATGCTTAGGAACAAATGATCCGCTTGCTCCCAGCTCGGCTGTGAAACCATGGACGGTTGACACTGGCTCTAGACGACCATTCAGAACGGATTCCTCGAAGCTACCTGGTTGATAACATAAACGTTAAAAAAAAGTCTCGCAACCAAGAATCGTATATCAGCAGTTGGGTGTTGTTATGACATAATCTGAAATCCACTTGAATACGTCTACACATAACGAAAAAGAAAACGTGTGTACAAATGTGAGAGGGAAATAGAACAGACCTAAATCACTTATATATAATACGAGTTCTGTTGAAAAACTAAAGTGAGTTTTCATATTTCTCAAAATATATTCATTTATTCATTAAAATGTATTTTGTCTCCTTCGAAGTAGTCTCCCTCAGATAAAATATACTTGTGCCATTTTCTTTTTCAATCCTCGTAGCAGTTTCAATATGCAATTTTTGGTATGTCCTTGGGCTCTTTCAGCGAGTCGGTTTTCATCTTCTCAATCGTCGCAAACCACCATCCTTTTATGGGTCTCTTCAATCTTGGGAAAAGGAAAAAATCGCGGGGCCAAATCTGGTAAATACGGTGGCTGAATCATGATAACAGTGTTGTTTTTGGGTAAAAAATTGCAAACATGCAATGACGAGCAAGCAGGCGCATTATCGAGTGTACAAACATAAAGAATATGAAAAAAAAAACACTATTCGAATGTACTTAGCTCGCGAAATTTGAACATTCACCTCATTTTTCAACAGTCCACGTAGATGCCTCTATCAGAAATGATGGTTGTGATGACTCTTATTTTGAAAGGTATGTGTAGATTTGTCACGTTTGAAAGTCATCAAAGTGCAACCCCAAAGTGACTTTTGACTTTTCAAAAATATTCTATCCCTGTTTTTGTTTTAAGCACATACACACCCCATTGCTGATACAAACAAACCTTGTTTCTAACAATAAAAATAAATATTGATAGCTGCTGAGTTATAGTTTGTAGTTTTCATTGACTGATCTGACTGAAACACATTTTACAATGAAAAAGATCACGATAATAAAAGATTTCTAGAAGAATATTCCAGAACTACAAACCAGACTCGACGCAGATCAATGTCAAAGTAAAACTAATATTCAAAAGTACGTACATCGTCTGTATCCGAGAGATTGTAAGTTTAAAGGTACGGGTGCTCGAACAATCAAAGTACTACCAACCTAATAAACCCGCTGCATGTCCTTTCCTCCGAAACTTGATGGGGGACACCTGACAATGGCTAGTCGGCAATATATCGGGGCTGCAAGGCGATACTATACTTCCATCGCTCTCACTTTCGTCGTCTGTTGAGAAGCCGTTGGAAAATAATGCACTGAAAGAAGAGAAATATGAAGAGTTAAAGTGCGACTGATGTACTGGAGTTGTTGGTCAAAAACAAGTAAAAAAGTATTATGCCGTTTCTAGCTCAAATCCCATGCTTTTTCTTCCACCTTTCATTTCATGTGCTACACGTAGCGATCCGACTATTATTAACGAAGATACGGCTTAATGCCTTTGTGACATACCACCGTTTTTGTTTTTGTGTCAATAAATTCAACATTCTCTTTCACTTCCATTTGATGTGCTGCACGTGACAATCTAACTATTATTAACGAAGATACAACTTATGTCATGCCATGTCATCTTTGTTTATTCAATAAATTCTGCTTTCCCTTGCCTTTCATTTGATGTGCAGCACGTTACAAATTTATTCAACAGTCATTTCACGTCCTAGTGTTCATGTTTTAAAATTATTATTATTATTATTCAACGGTATTTATTCCCTTCATCCTGATGGACGAGGATCTTCCTCACCGACCAGTTCAAATAACCTTGAAACGTTTTAAATTTGCAAAATGAAGCACCATAAGAAAAATTATGGGATTTTGAGCTAGAACCGGCATAGTACATCTACTAACAATTATTGAAACTCTATTATTAATAACAAAAAGAAACAGTCAAAGCTGGAAACTCGAAGACGCAATGAAGTGCCTCAGCTCTATAAAGATTGAAACATGATACTTCGATATGATCCGATATGCTACCCAATTCTGTTGGTAACCATATTAGATACTGACATCGTACTGCCACCGCTCTCTGGTGGTTAGGATAGGTACTATAAATGTAAGGATACTTATAGTTTCAATGAGCTTTGTATTCTTTGATACTGATACTCATATCAGAGTAAATGGTAATGAATAATATGTCACCATTATGGAATTAAACAATCCTTATGAGAGTTTCAATTGAGCTACTACTGAATGTGAATCTAGCAATCTATATTTACCTTTTTATTGCTGAAACTGAGTTGATAGACGAGTCGAAATCAAAGGAGGACTTCCCCTTCCGCACAGGCGCAGGACTACTCGTGAGAGGAAGTCCCGTCCTGGCGTGGAACACCATAGTAGCGGCGCTGCCCAAATTCTTGCGGAACTTTGCCTTCTCCGAAGGACTAGGAATCTCTACTAGACCACCCTCCTTTTCTTCGTCGAAGACGATCTTCTTCTTGACGTTCATGCACTTCGCCACGTCGATGTTCGATATATCCCTCATTTTCTTCGGTCCCACATGCGGAATAGGGCTATCACATTGTTTGTATATGCTAAAATTACTGTTTTGCTTAATACTAAATATATCACTTGCTCGCTTATCACAATTTACAGGATCACTTTCATTCTCTCTTGCACTTTCGTTTGTACTATTCCTGCCGCTACGTTCGATAGCGTCCAACAACAACTGTCCCTTGTCCTTGTTGAGATCATTTTTGGTGTGAAGCATATCTAGCCTGACATTCCTCGGAACGCACTTATCGCTGCTGTAAGGCGTCGAGTGTTCGATATACACCTTTAGGTTACGTTTCAGGGAGCTGGTCGAAGGCTCGTTTTTCTTGCTCTGGCACAGTCTTTTCACGTTCAGATTATTGTCGATTTTGATGTTGTCCTCCTCTTCCAGGTCGTCACATCTGTGTTTGCCTTTCAACGTGCAAGAGGTGACCATTCTGTCGTCGAACAAGCAATTCTTGTGCGTGTCGTCGTTGGTGTCTTGGGGAGAGTGGTTGTCCTTCGTATGAGCCCCGTTTTCGGCGGTTCGAGGGGTCAGGCAGTTTTCCAGGTCCATTATGTCGTAAACCTGAAAGAGGATTGAACTTAAATACGGACAGGCATGCCACAATAGTCAAACAGCGCATTAATTCGTGTCACTCATTAACAATAATAGCATTTATTGCTCAACAGATTGAACAATTCTTTACAAAAGTTGAAAGAAAAGATTTAGATACATTTAGTGATGAATTAATTAGTAGCTCAAGCACCAATCATGTACCACATTAAAGTTGTTTTGAAGTTGCATATAGTAACGTTCTAGTATCTAAATCATCAACTGAATCATTCACAAACAATAAAAAAGTGTAAAGGCCCTAGAATGGAGCCTTGGGGGACTCCAGAAGTTGGAACATATGGACTGGAATTGTGGCCATTATAAAAACGAAATGTAGACTTGAAATAAATGATTTGAAGAACTAGATGATATATCTGGATGAACCATGGTCTTTCTTGGTGACTTTTTGCTTTTGGGAGGTGACTGGGTGGCACATCGGTTTCCAACCACTATCCTGAGCGACCTGTTGTCGTAGAGGATCCGCTTTTCATCACACGCGATGATCCGATCCAAAAAAGGATCGTTTTGGTTGCGCAAAGGACTTTGAAGAGTGACACTTTCTGTCGATCGTTCAAATCGTGGGGTACCCACTTTTCGACCTCTTTCGACATTTCTAATACGTTGCATCACAAACCGCATGGGAGCTGACGCCCAGTTTTTTTGGCATCCACGCCATCCACTTAGGTCCTCAAATCCTCATCCTGGATCACTGTGGGTCGACCACTTTAAAGATCATCTTTGAGTCTAAAATCTTTGGAACGAAATTTCGCAAACCAACGTCGAACAGGAAGTTCATTAAATACTTGGTTGATTAAAATTAACAGCATCAAGAGATAGAGAACAGAATTCTCTATCTATCAGTATATGTCACGACATAGTAGAATATATATCTATTGAGATATGGAGATTATGACAGAAACAAGTCTTGAAACAATCTGATGAAAAAACTGCCAAAAGGAATCATAATGGGGGCCCTCTTTAGAGACATATACAGTGCATTTCTTTACTATTCCCCCCCGTTTTATTTTTTGAACGAGTCAACTCAAAAAAATTGAGATTTCGGATAATGAAATTAATGCATGAATACTTTATTTTGAAGTGAAATTGACAGATGAAACTTTCAAGATGGCGACTGGACGCCATCTGGGGAAAAAATTAAATAGAAAGGGGGGTCTTGTGACACATCATTTTAAAGCTCCTGACGAATATTTCACAACCTTAGAATGTAATGTCAATATCTTCAACTACTACAAAATGGCGGAACTTTGAATAATTGGCTGAATACATTGACATTTAACTACATAATGTGAGGTAATAAGCTTGAGGTCACTTCAGAAGATGCTCGAAATGGTTGCCTTGAACTTCTTGACATATGAACAGCCTATCCGATATTTCACGCCGAACATTTTCAAACACAGTAACGT